TAACCCTAACCCTAACCCTAACCCTAACCCTAACCCTAACCCTAACCCTAACCCTAACCCTAACCCTAACCCTAACCCTAACCCTAACCCTAACCTAACCCTGCGTGCTGAACATCAAGATCCATCCCAAGTTCAAAAAGCAGCTCCTCACCATCCTCATTGCAGCTGATATTGTCATCATTGGATCGGACTATCCAGAGGCTCTGATCCGAGGTAACCAGGTGATCAGCTGCAGCATCTTCATCCGCTGTCTTGAGAAAGCTGGTGTTGACACTGTGAGGGTGCAGGCTTATGGGATGAAGATGGGAGTGCGGTTCCCTTATGATGGCTTTGCCTTGGGAAGCATCGAGCATCCCATGTCAGACCTCAACACGTTTGACCTGGCTGCCAATTACACCAGCTCAAGCATCTGCCTCATCACCAACCGCCACAATGGCGTACCAGGACTTCAGCAGTACCCTATCCTGACGCCAATTGGACAGGGCTTTGGTGGCCTCCAGATGCCTGTCCACTATGGTGGCCAGACGTATCAGGTCAAGATCTATCCCCGCATTGTGCACCAGATCAAGGCACAGGCAGGCAACCACATGCTGACCAAGCCCAAGCAGGTACAGGCATGCAAGCGGCGCCGTGCAACCCTTGTAGGCCACTTGGACCAGATGGAAAAGGTGCAAGGGTCGGCTCTGGGTGGAGTACGGGTGGAGGCAACAGTGACCAGCCCAACCCTGCACATGGCGATCCAGACCATTGCACACACGCCAGTCCTCAGCATGGCTGAGTACATCAACCCAACGTACGAGGAGATGCAGCCTTACAAGATACGCTGCCTCCGTGTGCCAAAAGAGGACTACCTTGCCAACCTGCGGCAGCTCCTTTCCAAGGCTGATGAGCAGGAGGTCTTCTCTGGCCGCAATCAGAGCGTACCTCACCCAGATTCCCAGCAGATCATCATTGATCTCTTCAATGCCCTGGGATGGCACACTGGCCGCTTTGAACCAACCCGGTGGAACAATCCTGGAGCGTGGTGGCTGCACTCTCCTGGAGAGGCTCCAGTGGTGACTGCTGGTGACGTTGCAGCCACAAAGCAGGCTCAGGAACGCCAGCACCCTTCCAAGCACCTGCTGAAGAGGGCAATTGGGACCATGGAAGCACTACGCAGCTTCTACAACCAGGTCAAGAGCCAGTTGGCGTGCCCTAAGTGCAGCAAGGCAGCACCAGCCCTGTTCAACCAGGGAGGGCGCCGTCAGTTCAGGCTGCAGTGCAAAGGCTGCAAGGCACGCTTCAACCAGGACCAGGCCAGAGAATACTTTGGTCAGCTCTTGGACTGCGGCCAGCTCACTCTGCCAGAGTCTCTTGCGGCTCTGCTTCCGGAGCCTCAGGCAGACTCTGATGTGGTGACTGAGGACGATGATACTGACATGCCAGACCTAGGCAGCAGCTCAGACTCATCATCCTCTGGCAGTGACCAGGCTCCTGTCCATCCTCTGCATGGCCCACGTCGTCAAAGCTCCAGGCTACGTGCTCAGGCCAGGGTACCAGCTGAGCCTGCGTTGCAGGTGGAAGCAGATGAGGTGGAAGTGCTCTCCAGGTTTGAATCGAGACCTGTTGTGCTGCTTCCTGCCTGTTCAGGTCCACCAGCTGCAGCGGCAGCCAAGTACACTCCAGACCCTGCCCTTGAGGCAATGCTGGAAGAGCTTGATGCTGAGCTTGGCCTTGGACAGCATCAGATAGCTCCCCCTGCTGTCTTGCCAGCCCGCCTGCTGCCATCCAGCCAGCCACTTGAGGCAAGGCCCAAGCTACGGCCTGTCCATGGCATTGCTGATAGAGATGTGGCAGCTGTCCTGAGGACCCTCTACAATCTGAAGGTCAGCTCCATCATCACAAGGGATGGCAACTGCATGTTCAGGGCCATGTCCTACCATCTGACTGGTAGCCAAAACCTCCACAGGGAGGTCCGGAAACAAGCCATCAACTGGCTTGAGCAGAACCCAAGCATACTGCTGGGATTTGCAGCGCACGGAGAAGGCCACTTCTCAGCTTCCACTTACCTTGCCAACATGGCCAGGCCTGGTGAGTGGGGCGATGAGATCATGCTCATGGCAATCTCCCAGGCGTACAATGTCTCAATCTTGGTCTCATCAGGCAGAGACCCCGAGACAGGTGACTTCAACGTCACCATCTACCCCCACAGTGCCCCAGGCCCTCACTACGGTCTGTGCCACATTGCCCAGTCTCAACACTATGAGCTCCTGTTCCTGTGATCTGTTCTCTGGCTCCTATTCTGGCTCCTATTCTAGCTCCGGTTCCAGGTT